TTTGTCCAAATTCAATAGTACCAGATTCTACTTTCGATTTGTCCATTACGTCAATATATGTACTATGGTCAAAATAGTTACTATAAGTACTATCTAAACAGGAGGATGGGGTGCCATCGTCAGTATAGTGACATGAAATCCTGTCAAGCATTATGCTACGAGAATGACTCTGTCTCTCTCTCTCTCTCTCTCTCTCTCTCTCTCTCTCTCTCTCTCTCTCTCTCTCTCTCTCTCTCTCTCTCTTCCGAAATTACAATTCATTTTCAAGACCCGAAACAGCTGCCTCGGTCTCTACTAACACCAAAACAAAGATGTTCAATACTTTTTTACAAATATAAACACAGCAACGTGGACGCGAACGAGTCATTTGTTTAGTGCAGCGCCGTTTCTGATAATTGGATGTCTCACGTCCCGTTAACACCACACCTTACTATAGAATTATTTGTATTGTTATTATTTTTATTATTAGTGTTGAGAAGCCTACTACAATACCGTAGTGTTTGAATGAAGGTGAGGAAAAGACCCAATACTTGTGTAAGTGTATTAATAAATTCGAATTTTCATATGAACCTTCATTCTTTTCCTCACCTGAATTATTATTATTGTATAATGCAATGACATTAACGTGACGTATCAATGAGGATATCAGTAGGAGCCGTGAAGCCCCCACACAACTGGTACTCTGAAGCGTGTGCTTGGGAGTACCAAGTGAGAGGGTTCGAATCCTGTTCATGGCTCAAACTGATTTTCTCATTATTTTTACTGTCATTGCAGTTCCTTTCGTTTTTCTTGTTTCCGTCTTTGTTGTTTGGTTTTAATAGTACTGTAATGATGAAAATTGTGCTTCAAAGAGTTTTGAATTTTATAATATTGTGAAGAAAAGGGGAGAGAGAGAGAGAGAGAGAGAGAGAGAGAGAGAGAGAGAGAGAGAGAGAGAGAGAGAGAGAGAGAGAGAGAGATGAGAAACAGCGAGGGAGGTCATTACCCTCAGGGATGTGCCCCAGGGATGTCATCACGCCACCAGTAGGACCAGAAGGCTTCCCCCATCTCCCCTTGCAGATGACGAGGGGAAGGGAGGAGAGATGGAGAGCGCTGAGAGGGACGAGAACGTGAGGGTAGGAGTTAGAGAAAGCCAGGAGAAACGAGGGAAAGCAAGCGGAGAAGAAAATCAAAGGGGAGAGGAGATGGCATTCTTGAGAGTAGAGAACGGGAGAGGGAAGGTAGGGAGATGATGGGTTGTAATGTTGTTAGTGGGGTCTTGAGGGGATGATGAGTTGTGAAGAGTTGGTTGTGTGTGTGTGTGATGGTAAGCACTAATTTTATGTATTTTTGTTTTTAACTCTTGACGTTCAAGCTCTTTGTTGTGACTGGCATTGAATGTGTAGGTGGAAGAGGCTTTCACTGTTCTTTCAGTGCATACCACTTGATTTGGTGTATTTAATAATACATCTTCATCTTCAGAAGGATGAAGATGTATTATTAAATCTTCAGTAATATCCCATTGTCTTACTACGTACTTGTACGAATACATCTTTCTTCTGAAAATGTATTAAATACGAAAGTACTTAGGGAAATTCCTGTCTTAATCCTTCGTGGTTTGACACTCTATATTAAGCATATGTTCAGTGTCTGCAGTGGCAAAACGTAGCCTAATTCAATAACTAGGCGAGAGAGGTCCCAGGCACACGCCGAGCACCTGAATAAGGACTCAAACTCTGTCGTAACCCAACAAAACTTGATCTACTTGAAGCAAACCTATCTGAAACTGGTCTAACCAAATCATAGTCAAGTTAATATCGCATATTAAGTATTATCGTATATTTATTAGTGCTATTTAAACAAAACAGTATTAGTCTTTCATGATCTAGCATTGCCTATTAAGCTGTAATTAAGTCAAGCCTTGCATCGTAAGCCTATGACATCGTAATTTGACCTAGCCTTTGATATCGAAATTTAACCCAGCTTATAATATTGCAGTTAAAAATAGCCTATGATATCATAATTTAACCTAGTTAATGATTTCATAAATTATTCTTGCAACTTAACCTAGCCAATGATTTCATAAATTAACCTTGTCTACGATATCGTAATTTAATCTAACCCAGAGTTAACCAACCTCTGGCATCCACACGAATTGTTTTTCCCAGCACACTCACCTTAAAGAAAAATAATTCAATAAATAATATACAACGTCTTCGCTAAGTTGTATATTTTAATTTAATCAAAGTCAATTTTATTAAGGAGAACGATACCCAATAAAAATACAGTGAACAAACACTGACAACCGTTTTATGCATAATAATAATGAGTAATTAAGAGAATGAAAGCATCATGGTATATACTGACGTACACAGAGTTGTCCTGTTCAGTTGTGGCATCACTCGTCAAGCGGCCGGACGTCGCACGACTCCTTCTCCAGCGTCGTACTGTAGGTAGGCTCATAATTGTACGAATTTTATGCAACATACACATAGTCTCTCGTCGGCTTGGCGCCATCTTTTGATAATTGTACGATTTTTTTTGCATGGCTTTTCCCAAGAACCGATTTTCGTGAAACTTGGTAGGTGTGGCAAGTGATTTTATGATGATATTTTGTGAGCTATGTAATTTGTATGTATTGCTCGTAAGGGATTTATAAATGAATATCTTGAATTTAATTTTCTTTTATTGTGGTTTAGGAAGGTAAAGCGATTAGAAGACTGGACACTGTAATGTATTTGGAAAATCTGAAAACATTATGGTTGATTGATATAATATAAAGAAACAAAAAACACAGAAATTTAGAATTATTGTTTATTCTTTTGCTGACGTTAAAAACTGCTACTTGCATTGTCTGGGTGTATATGGCATCGAGAATTACACTTAAAGCCTAATGCAAAATATCCACGTTTTCAACAGCGTAGGACGACCTTTTAGGTAAAAATTCCTTCACTAAATTTTACATTCAAGCCGTCTTACATTACTTGTAATAATCATTCTTAAAGCATTCTTTGATTTTTACTGCTCTAGTGTGATTTTTTTGTTATTTGAGGTTCTTCCAATACTTGAAAGACACGAAATACTAATAAGTTCCCTAAAATTTCGGTTGGCATGCGACAAGATTTTACATTAAAGAATTGTTGATTTTAGCATGCATACTTAAAAATTATATCTACCCATGACGTAGCCTATAATTTCATAAATTAACCTAGTCTATGATGTCATCATTTAACCTAGCCTATGATATCATAATGTAACCTTGCCTATTAAATAGTAATACTAAATAGCCTGAAATAACATGAGAAAGAAAACATATAGCGACATTTCATCCTACCACCCTAGTAAACTTGTGGCAAAGTGAAATTTACACTAGTTCCTCCATTTATAATCATTTTATTATGCAGGTAGAACCGCACGTCTATGGGCCATCCTATAAGGTCAGGACACACGTGTCACCACTGCTAGGCTTAGGCTCGGTTACAAGTACCTCTGGGAGTTTGTAACATTTGCTGATTTAGACTTGACCAAATGTAAATTCTGTCAGCAGAACTATTCACATTGCGTCATTATATCCTCGAATGCGAAAAATCGCGGAATTCAGAGATAACTCCATCAATGGTGTTAAAGAAATGTGTAAGTACTTCGTTCATAATAATATACTGCCAGGAATCTTGGCCAAGTATCCAAAATTTGCTTACTGTAGGTAATGCCTGCACATGACTGTAAAGTTGCCGCCCAGTTGGGTGGGTGTGGAGCAAGACTAGTAACTGTGTGATTGACTCGCCGCATATGTAAACTGCCTTATATAGAGACTATTGCGATCCACTTCTTGAATCGTCTGTGATATAAAAAGACTACTGATATATGTATATGTATTTGTGTATATACATGTGAATATAATGTGTGTGTGTATGTATATTTATATGCATATCACAATGGCCTGATATACCACTGAAAATCATTTTGAGGCAATGGAGTGACTTGAACTCGCGTTCTGGTGATCCTGGTTAAGTCAGGTGTCTTGGAATCACTAGAACGCGAGTTCAAGTCACTACATTGCCTCAAAATGATTTTCATATATTCATGTGTGTGTAATAAGAAAAATGTATACCTAGCTTCACAAGAGTGTCACTTGCTTAGCAAGATGAACTATGGGGTTCAGTTCCTTGACCCATTATGTGCCTTTGTAACCCTTTCCACCACCGCCCACGAGATAGGAATGGTGTGTAAAATAAATAACAAAAGACATTACCATTTCTAACAAAAGTTAGAAATGGTAATGTCTTCTCACAGACATAATAACAGAGGATAACAACCCCACACTTGTGTATTTGTGAAATTTATATTAGGAATTTACACTGAAGTCTTTCGCACTCTACTGAGTGCTTCCTCAAGGTCTTCTCAAGGTCTGAGTGTGTGATTAGGACGAAACTTATATCTCAAAGTATAATCACAGGTGCAAAAGTAACTAACTGCCCCAAATTTGTCCTGACTGGTAGAACTTAACCTTCCTTAACCAGAGCGTGACCAGCCGACTCGGCAGGTACAAAAGGCATCTTTAAATTTCTGGGAAAACTCTTAAGTAGGTCGAGAGCAGAGAGCGCCAGCCCTTCTGCAGCGTCTCCTTCAGTAGATTCGTGTTTATTTTGGAAGTCAAACAGAAGGGAAAAAGATAAACAAGATGAGGCATCCTTGGGATACGCCACAGGCCGGGTTGTAAAACATGCAAGGACTCTACGCGAGAACTTTTGGCATTTTGGGAAAAATGACTTTCATGTACACATGTGATGTGGTACGTGTTTTTGTGTGTGCATCATTTCTAGCGACAGATATAGCTGTAATTTTATAAATCAGAAGTTTTATTTTTTTTTACTGCGAGAACGAATGATGTGTCTGACTTGTCAAGAGGGAGCAGAAATATTAATATTATTAGAATGACTTTTTCTTTATTACTTCTCAATTTCTCTGACGTGTAGTCTTGTGACACATGAGCCATAATACCCTCTCTCTGTACCCTTCAGGTTCCCGCATCACCACAATGGTTGGCCAGGACATCCGCTCACCAGGCTTCGGTCTCCACGCTCTCAAGAGGTTCCCAGAGGTGAGTATCCTTATATTGTTTATAATTACCTTTAGTAGTAGTGGTAGTTTGTACTGGGATATCCCTATCTTGTGTAGCTTCCGGGGATCAACAGCCCCGCGGCCCGGTCTCCGACCAGGCCTCCCGGTTGGTTGTCTGGTAAACCAGGCTCTTTGGCGCAGCTGCTCGCAGCCTGACGTATGAATCACAGCCTTCTGTGACTCATCTCCATTCTAATGTGAGTATCGGGACTACCATTCTAATGTGAGTATCGGGACTACCATTCTAATGTGAGTATCGGGACTACCATTCTAATGTGAGTATCGGGACTACCATTCTAATGTGAGTATCGGGACTACCATTCTAATGTGAGTATCGGGACTACCATTCTAATGTGAGTATCGGGACTACCATTCTAATGTGAGTATCGGGACTACCATTCTAATGTGAGTATCGGGACTACCATTCTAATGTGAGTATCGGGACTACCATTCTAATGTGAGTATCGGGACTACCATTCTAATGTGAGTATCGGGACTACCATTCTAATGTGAGTATCGGGACTACCATTCTAATGTGAGTATCGGGACTACCATTCTAATGTGAGTATCGGGACTACCATTCTAATGTGAGTATCGGGACTACCATTCTAATGTGAGTATCGGGACTACCATTCTAATGTGAGTATCGGGACTACCATTCTAATGTGAGTATCGGGACTACCATTCTAATGTGAGTATCGGGACTACCATTCTAATGTGAGTATCGGGACTACCATTCTAATGTGAGTATCGGGACTACCATTCTAATGTGAGTATCGGGACTACCATTCTAATGTGAGTATCGGGACTACCATTCTAATGTGAGTATCGGGACTACCATTCTAATGTGAGTATCGGGACTACCATTCTAATGTGAGTATCGGGACTACCATTCTAATGTGAGTATCGGGACTACCATTCTAATGTGAGTATCGGGACTACCATTCTAATGTGAGTATCGGGACTACCATTCTAATGTGAGTATCGGGACTACCATTCTAATGTGAGTATCGGGACTACCATTCTAATGTGAGTATCGGGACTACCATTCTAATGTGAGTATCGGGACTGCCATTCTAATGTGAGTATCGGGACTGCCATTCTAATGTGAGTATCGGGACTGCCATTCTAATGTGAGTATCGGGACTGCCATTCTAATGTGAGTATCGGGACTGCCATTCTAATGTGAGTATCGGGACTGCCATTCTCGGGACTGCCATTCTAATGTGAGTATCGGGACTACCATTCTAATGTGAGTATCGGGACTACCATTCTAATGTGAGTATCGGGATTCTAATGTGAGTATACCATTCTAATGTGAGTATCGGGACTACCATTCTAATGTGAGTATCGGGAGTACACCAGACTTGGGTCTCCTCTTTTTCCCCCCAACTTGTTGCTCTTCATTAGCCCCAAAAGCTGTACAAGTAAACCTCCTGCTCCACCCGAGGGATGACGAGACACGAAACATTAAAATGTGTATACCTCAGGCTCCGAGTTTACTTTGTGGACCATATACAGGATTATAGTATACGTGTAAACAATTTCGGTATCCTTATCCTCCTGTATAGGTTGACAGGGCTTAAGCCCAACAGGATACCAAAGTGACGGGATATGAACACCGAGGGGTTTACCTCGCTTCTTGGTGTATATACTGTACACTGAGTTTACTTTAGTCCTGTTTACTAGTCACTTTAGTCCTTTACTAGTCACTTTAGTCCTGGACTATGTCCAGGACTAAAGTGACTAGTAATGAGTATCATTACTTTATTTATTTATTATAAGTATCATTACTTTATTCATTACTAGTCACTAAAGTGACTAGTAATGAATAAAGTGTTCTTGCTGGCTGGTCAGTAAGCCATTGTGGCGGACGTGATGACCCTCTGAGAGCATTAAACTCAACATCAAACCAAACGACGAGGGGCTGGTAAGCTCGTTAATTCCTGCAGGTGTTAATTCCCACGTCAGGTGAGAGAACACTTAAACAATGGAATGAGGTTGAAGGTATTTTTCGTTGACTTTTTTGTTTTATTCATTTTTTTTATAATTTTTTCAACCAGGGATATACTTTCGGGTAATTCCTGCAGGTGTTAATTGTCATAGGTAGGCCTAGGGGGGGGGGGGGAGGAGTTATATAAAGGATGTTTAAGATGTTTTTCTTGTCTTGTTTTGTTTTTATTCAGGGATTGTCTTGGGGGGCTCCTATGACTCTGGGGCCAGATTCACGAAAGCACTTAGGCAAGCACTTACGAACGTGTACATCTTTCCTCAATCTTTGACGGCTTTGGTTGCATTTATTAAACAGTTTACAAGTATGAAAACTTCCCAATCAACTGTTGTTATTGTTATAAACAGCCTCCTGGTGCTTCGGAGCTCGTTAACTGTTTAATAATTGGAAACAAAGCCGCCAAAGATTGAGAAAAGATGTACAGGTTCGTAAGTGCTTTCGTGAATCTGGCCCCTGGCTGGCCCGTTTACGACCTAATAGATACCCCCCATTAACATTTTCTTCGTTCTCTTGGATCTCTCTCTTCGTTTCACTAGCCGAACAGGTCAGGTTTTTGGTGTGTGTGTTAAAGAGACTGGAATTCCAATGCTTCCATCAGTAATCTGGTAGGCAAACAGTGCTTCATTATAAGCTTAGTCTTACGCAGAGAAATCACATTATCGTGGTATATAAATGAACAAATCGACTGGAGCCGTAGTGAGGATTCGAATGTATGTGCTGGAACACCCCAGCGCATAGGTTCGAATCCTTATCACGGCTCCAGTGGACTTGTTCAAGCTTAGTATTGATATATGTATAACGAATGCTTAAGTTATGAAGAGGTAAAAATCAACTTTCAGCAACACTGGATTAGTCAAGATATAAATATAGCTAAAATGTCTAACTTACGCTTGAAACAATCACGTGATTCCACATCTTTTATGTTATCGATAATTTGCTCCACAAATCAACAACCTTATGTACAAACTTCAGTACTTACCTATATACAAGTATTTAACCCTCAACTGTTCGCCTCTCTTCACCCAGCAGTAATTGAATACCTGGTTGTAGATCGATTTGTGGGTCGTGTTCCAGGGAAAACCAGTAGGGAAAAGCTTATCATGAGCTATGGAAAGGGGAAAACTCTAAGTCTTCTAACATGATTGAGAAATCGCCTGTTCTCGAACCCTCTTGTGTAAAGATAAGCAGTATTTACCTATTTTTACATATGATATACCGCCTGGGGGGGGGGGGATATGTAAAAATATGTAACATATGTAGCATATGTTGGGTGAGGGTAAATTGTGTACAATTGAAACATTAGTTGATTCTGAGAGCTTTATAACCTCTCTCTCTCTCTCTCTCTCTCTCTCTCTCTCTCTCTCTCTCTCTCTCTCTCTCTCTCTCTCTCTCTCTCTCTCTCTCTCTCTCTCTCTCTCTCTCTCTCTCTCTCTCTCTCTCTCTCTCTCTCTCTCATTATATATCCCACTCGTCGACGTCATACGTAGTGGTTATCGATCTAGAAGAGCAGTGGCGGCGCCAGGCGGTACTGTGGGAGCCGGGACGGGACGTGACAGGGGGGCCGACCTCCCTGTCCTTGGACGTCCTCTGCCTGAGTGAACTCCTCTCCTGTCGAGTACGTCCCTAGAGTGCCCCTGTACACGGTGTACATTGCTCCTGTGGAGGGAGCCTAGAGTGCTCCTGTGGAGGGAGCCTAGAGTGCTCCTGTGGAGGGAGCCTAGAGTGCTCCTGGGGAGGGAGCCTAGAGTGCTCCTGTGGAGGGAACCTAGAGTGCTCTTGTAGATGGCCTAGAGTGCTCCTGTAGATGGCCTAGAGTGCTCCTGTAGATGGCCTAGAGTGCTCTTGAAGATGGCCTAGAGTGCTCCTGTAGATGGCCTAGAGTGCTCTTGTAGATGGCCTAGAGTGCTCCTGTAGATGGCCTAGAGTGCTCTTGTAGATGGCCTAGAGTGCTCCTGTAGATGGCCTAGAGTGCTCCTGTAGATGGCCTAGAGTGCTCTTGTCAAGGGTATACATTGTAGTGAGAGTGAACCAATAGGCTCACCTGTAGAGCCTGTAGGGAGATTAATTGCATTAGGAGTTTGATATGATACACTAAGGGGTGGGGGGTAAGATGAGTTAGCCACTATATGTAGCACAATACATGTAGTATACGTAGAATTATACACGTGGTTTAATAAATTTAGAATAATAATACGTATTGTATAATATGTAATTCAATAGGGGCAGTATAATACATTTTACTAATACATACTATTCAATACTAAAAAAATATATATATATATATATATATATATATATATATATATATATATATATATATATTTTTTTTTTAATATAGTAGGGGTACCACCTCTGGTGCAAGTGTAGGGACCCATAGCCTCGGAGAAGAAAATAAAGAGTACTCAGAGAAGACCTTGTGGATCCTGGATATATATATATATATATATATATATATATATATATATATATATATATATATATATATATATATATATATATATATATATATATGTCGTACCTAATAGCCAGAACGCACTTCTCAGCCTACTATGCAAGACTCGATTTGCCTAATAAGCCAAGTTTTCATGAATTAATGTTTTTTAGACTACCTAACCTACCTAACCTAACCTAACCTACCTTTTTCGGCAACCTAACCCAACCTAACCTATGAAGATAGGTTAGGTTAGGTTAGGTAGGGTTGGTTAGGTTCGGTCATATATCTACGTTAATTTTAACTACAATAAAAAAAATTGACCTCATATATAATGAAATGGGTAGCTTTATCATTTCATAAGAAAAAAATTAGAAAAAATATATTAATTCAGGAAAACTTGGCTTATTAGGCAAATCGGGCCTTGAATAGTAGGCCAAAAAGTGAGTTCTGGCTACTAGGTACGACATATATATATATATATATATATATATATATATATATGACAATGTCAGACCACGGCGGAAAAATGAAACAG